GACATGCAACCAGACATGGGCAACGAGTGAACAACGTGTAGTACACGAACTGGAGCTGTCATTTCGGCACAGCTGATGCTTTCGACTCAATTGAATGGTGTTATTGCATGACCTAAGCACCGCATCAAGACCCAGCAGCAGTTGCGCTTCCCATCTTCGTGCGGTGTTGGATGCAAGCACAGACATGCAACCAGACATGCAACCAGACATGGGCAACGAGTGAACAACGTGTAGGACACGAACTGGAGCTGTCATTTCGGCACAGCTGATGACTCAATTGAATGGTGTTATTGCATGACCTAAGCACCGCATCAAGACCCAGCAGCAGTTGCGCTTCCCATCTTCGTGCGGTGTTGGATGCAAGCACAGACATGCAACCAGACATGCAACCAGACATGGGCAACGAGTGAACAACGTGCGGTACACGAACTGGAGCTGTCATTTCGGCACAGCTGATGACTCAATTGAATGGTGTTATTGCATGACCTAAGCACCGCATCAAGACCCAGCAGCAGTTGCGCTTCCCATCTTCGTGCGGTGTTGGATGCAAGCACAGACATGCAACCAGACATGCAACCAGACATGGGCAACGAGTGAACAACGTGTAGGTACACGAACTGGAGCTGTCATTTCGGCGCAGCTGATGACTCAATTGAATGGTGTTATTGCATGACCTAAGCACCGCATCAAGACCCAGCAGCAGTTGCGCTTCCCATCTTCGTGCGGTGTTGGATGCAAGCACAGACATGCAACCAGACATGCAACCAGACATGGGCAACGAGTGAACAACGTGCGAGTACACGAACTGGAGCTGTCATTTCGGCACAGCTGATGACTCAATTGAATGGTGTTATTGCATGACCTAAGCACCGCATCAAGACCCAGCAGCAGTTGCGCTTCCCATCTTCGTGCGGTGTTGGATGCAAGCACAGACATGCAACCAGACATGCAACCAGACATGGGCAACGAGTGAACAACGTGTAGGACACGAACTGGAGCTGTCATTTCGGCACAGCTGATGAACTCAATTGAATGGTGTTATTGCATGACCTAAGCACCGCATCAAGACCCAGCAGCAGTTGCGCTTCCCATCTTCGTGCGGTGTTGGATGCAAGCACAGACATGCAACCAGACATGCAACCAGACATGGGCAACGAGTGAACAACGTGCGGTACACGAACTGGAGCTGTCATTTCGGCACAGCTGATGACTCAATTGAATGGTGTTATTGCATGACCTAAGCACCGCATCAAGACCCAGCAGCAGTTGCGCTTCCCATCTTCGTGCGGTGTTGGATGCAAGCACAGACATGCAACCAGACATGCAACCAGACATGGGCAACGAGTGAACAACGTGTGGTACACGAACTGGAGCTGTCATTTCGGCACAGCTGATGACTCAATTGAATGGTGTTATTGCATGACCTAAGCACCGCATCAAGACCCAGCAGCAGTTGCGCTTCCCATCTTCGTGCGGTGTTGGATGCAAGCACAGACATGCAACCAGACATGCAACCAGACATGGGCAACGAGTGAACAACGTGTAGTACACGAACTGGAGCTGTCATTTCGGCACAGCTGGTGACTCAATTGAATGGTGTTATTGCATGACCTAAGCACCGCATCAAGACCCAGCAGCAGTTGCGCTTCCCATCTTCGTGCGGTGTTGGATGCAAGCACAGACATGCAACCAGACATGCAACCAGACATGGGCAACGAGTGAACAACGTGCGGGACACGAACTGGAGCTGTCATTTCGGCACAGCTGATGACTCAATTGAATGGTGTTATTGCATGACCTAAGCACCGCATCAAGACCCAGCAGCAGTTGCGCTTCCCATCTTCGTGCGGTGTTGGATGCAAGCACAGACATGCAACCAGACATGCAACCAGACATGGGCAACGAGTGAACAACGTGTGGTACACGAACTGGAGCTGTCATTTCGGCACAGCTGATGACTCAATTGAATGGTGTTATTGCATGACCTAAGCACCGCATCAAGACCCAGCAGCAGTTGCGCTTCCCATCTTCGTGCGGTGTTGGATGCAAGCACCAGACATGCAACCAGACATGGGCAACGAGTGAACAACGTGTGGTACACGAACTGGAGCTGTCATTTCGGCACAGCTGATGCCTAGACTCAATTGAATGGTGTTATTGCATGACCTAAGCACCGCATCAAGACCCAGCAGCAGTTGCGCTTCCCATCTTCGTGCGGTGTTGGATGCAAGCACAGACATGCAACCAGACATGCAACCAGACATGGGCAACGAGTGAACAACGTGCGGTACACGAACTGGAGCTGTCATTTCGGCACAGCTGATGACTCAATTGAATGGTGTTATTGCATGACCTAAGCACCGCATCAAGACCCAGCAGCAGTTGCGCTTCCCATCTTCGTGCGGTGTTGGATGCAAGCACAGACATGCAACCAGACATGCAACCAGACATGGGCAACGAGTGAACAACGTGTGGTACACGAACTGGAGCTGTCATTTCGGCACAGCTGATGACTCAATTGAATGGTGTTATTGCATGACCTAAGCACCGCATCAAGACCCAGCAGCAGTTGCGCTTCCCATCTTCGTGCGGTGTTGGATGCAAGCACAGACATGCAACCAGACATGCAACCAGACATGGGCAACGAGTGAACAACGTGTGGTACACGAACTGGAGCTGTCATTTCGGCACAGCTGATGACTCAATTGAATGGTGTTATTGCATGACCTAAGCACCGCATCAAGACCCAGCAGCAGTTGCGCTTCCCATCTTCGTGCGGTGTTGGATGCAAGCACAGACATGCAACCAGACATGCAACCAGACATGGGCAACGAGTGAACAACGTGCGGGACACGAACTGGAGCTGTCATTTCGGCACAGCTGATGCTTACTCAATTGAATGGTGTTATTGCATGACCTAAGCACCGCATCAAGACCCAGCAGCAGTTGCGCTTCCCATCTTCGTGCGGTGTTGGATGCAAGCATAGACATGCAACCAGACATGCAACCAGACATGGGCAACGAGTGAACAACGTGTAGTACACGAACTGGAGCTGTCATTTCGGCACAGCTGATGACTCAATTGAATGGTGTTATTGCATGACCTAAGCACCGCATCAAGAGCCAGCAGCAGTTGCGCTTCCCATCTTCGTGCGGTGTTGGATGCAAGCACAGACATGCAACCAGACATGCAACCAGACATGGGCAACGAGTGAACAACGTGTAGTACACGAACTGGAGCTGTCATTACGGCGCAGCTGATGATTACGACTGATTAAGAGGTGTTATTGCATGACCTAAGCACCGCATCAAGACCCAGCAGCAGTTGCGCTTCCCATCTTCGTGCGGTGTTGGATGCAAGCATAGACATGCAACCAGACATGCAACCAGACATGGGCAACGAGTGAACAACGTGTAGTACACGAATTGGAGCTGTCATTACGGCGCAGCTGATGATTACGACTCAATTGAATGGTGTTATTGCATGACCTAAGCACCGCATCAAGACCCAGCAGCAGTTGCGCTTCCCATCTTCGTGCGGTGTTGGATGCAAGCACAGACATGCAACCAGACATGCAACCAGACATGGGCAACGAGTGAACAACGTGCGGTACACGAACTGGAGCTGTCATTTCGGCACAGCTGATGACTCAATTGAATGGTGTTATTGCATGACCTAAGCACCGCATCAAGACCCAGCAGCAGTTGCGCTTCCCATCTTCGTGCGGTGTTGGATGCAAGCACAGACATGCAACCAGACATGCAACCAGACATGGGCAACGAGTGAACAACGTGTAGTACACGAACTGGAGCTGTCATTTCGGCGCAGCTGATGACTCAATTGAATGGTGTTATTGCATGACCTAAGCACCGCATCAAGACCCAGCAGCAGTTGCGCTTCCCATCTTCGTGCGGTGTTGGATGCAAGCATAGACATGCAACCAGACAAGCAACCAGACATGCAACCAGACATGGGCAACAAGTGAACAACGTGTAGTACACGAACTGGAGCTGTCATTTCGGCACAGCTGATGACTCAATTGAATGGTGTTATTGCATGACCTAAGCACCGCATCAAGACCCAGCAGCAGTTGCGCTTCCCATCTTCGTGCGGTGTTGGATGCAAGCACAGACATGCAACCAGACATGGGCAACGAGTGAACAACGTGTAGTACACGAATTGGAGCTGTCATTACGGCGCAGCTGATGATTACGACTGATTAAGAGGTGTTATTGCATGACCTAAGCACCGCATCAAGACCCAGCAGCAGTTGCGCTTCCCATCTTCGTGCGGTGTTGGATGCAAGCACAGACATGCAACCAGACATGCAACCAGACATGGGCAACGAGTGAACAACGTGTAGTACACGAATTGGAGCTGTCATTACGGCGCAGCTGATGATTACGACTGATTAAGAGGTGTTATTGCATGACCTAAGCACCGCATCAAGACCCAGCAGCAGTTGCGCTTCCCATCTTCGTGCGGTGTTGGATACAAGCATAGACATGCAACCAGACATGCAACCAGACATGGGCAACGAGTGAACAACGTGTAGTACACGAATTGGAGCTGTCATTACGGCGCAGCTGATGATTACGACTGATTAAGAGGTGTTATTGCATGACCTAAGCACCGCATCAAGACCCAGCAGCAGTTGCGCTTCCCATCTTCGTGCGGTGTTGGATACAAGCATAGACATGCAACCAGACATGCAACCAGACATGGGCAACGAGTGAACAACGTGTAGTACACGAACTGGAGCTGTCATTTCGGCGCAGCTGATGACTCAATTGAATGGTGTTATTGCATGACCTAAGCACCGCATCAAGACCCAGCAGCAGTTGCGCTTCCCATCTTCGTGCGGTGTTGGATACAAGCATAGACATGCAACCAGACATGCAACCAGACATGCAACCAGACATGGGCAACGAGTGAACAACGTGTAGTACACGAACTGGAGCTGTCATTTCGGCACAGCTGATGACTCAATTGAATGGTGTTATTGCATGACCTAAGCACCGCATCAAGACCCAGCAGCAGTTGCGCTTCCCATCTTCGTGCGGTGTTGGATGCAAGCACAGACATGCAACCAGACATGCAACCAGACATGGGCAACAAGTGAACAACGTGTAGTACACGAACTGGAGCTGTCATTTCGGCACAGCTGATGACTCAATTGAATGGTGTTATTGCATGACCTAAGCACCGCATCAAGACCCAGCAGCAGTTGCGCTTCCCATCTTCTTGCGGTGTTGGATACAAGCATAGACATGCAACCAGACATGCAACCAGACATGGGCAACAAGTGAACAACGTGTAGTACACGAACTGGAGCTGTCATTTCGGCACAGCTGATGACTCAATTGAATGGTGTTATTGCATGACCTAAGCACCGCATCAAGAGCCAGCAGCAGTTGCGCTTCCCATCTTCGTGCGGTGTTGGATGCAAGCACAGACATGCAACCAGACATGCAACCAGACATGGGCAACGAGTGAACAACGTGCGGGACACGAATTGGAGCTGTCATTACGGCGCAGCTGATGATTACGACTGATTAAGAGGTGTTATTGCATGACCTAAGCACCGCATCAAGACCCAGCAGCAGTTGCGCTTCCCATCTTCGTGCGGTGTTGGATACAAGCATAGACATGCAACCAGACATGCAACCAGACATGGGCAACGAGTGAACAACGTGTAGTACACGAATTGGAGCTGTCATTACGGCGCAGCTGATGATTACGACTGATTAAGAGGTGTTATTGCATGACCTAAGCACCGCATCAAGACCCAGCAGCAGTTGCGCTTCCCATCTTCGTGCGGTGTTGGATGCAAGCACAGACATGCAACCAGACATGAGTAACGAGTGTACAAAGTGTAGTACACGAACTGGAGCTGTCATTTCGGCGCAGCTGATGATTCTGACTCATTTGTGAGGTGTTATTGCATGACCTAAGCACCGCATCAAGAGCCAGCAGCAGTTGCGCTTCCCATCTTCGTGCGGTGTTGGATGCAAGCACAGACATGCAACCAGACATGCAACCAGACATGGGCAACGAGTGAACAACGTGCGGGACACGAACTGGAGCTGTCATTTCGGCACAGCTGATGACTCAATTGAATGGTGTTATTGCATGACCTAAGCACCGCATCAAGACCCAGCAGCAGTTGCGCTTCCCATCTTCGTGCGGTGTTGGATGCAAGCACAGACATGCAACCAGACATGCAACCAGACATGGGCAACGAGTGAACAACGTGCGGGACACGAACTGGAGCTGTCATTTCGGCACAGCTGATGATTCCGACTCAATTGAATGGTGTTATTGCATGACCTAAGCACCGCATCAAGAGCCAGCAGCAGTTGCGCTTCCCATCTTCGTGCGGTGTTGGATGCAAGCACAGACATGCAACCAGACATGCAACCAGACATGGGCAACGAGTGAACAACGTGTAGTACACGAACTGGAGCTGTCATTTCGGTGCAGCCGATGATTCGGACTCATTTGTGAGGTGTTTTTTGCATGACCTAAGCACCGCATCAAGACCCAGCAGCAGTTGCGCTTCCCATCTTCGTGCGGTGTTGGATGCAAGCACAGACATGCAACCAGACATGCAACCAGACATGGGCAACGAGTGAACAACGTGTAGTACACGAACTGGAGCTGTCATTTCGGCACAGCTGATGATTCTGACTCATTTGAGAGGTGTTATTGCATGACCTAAGCACCGCATCAAGAGCCAGCAGCAGTTGCGCTTCCCATCTTCGTGCGGTGTTGGATGCAAGCACAGACATGCAACCAGACATGGGCAACGAGTGAACAACGTGCGGGACACGAACTGGAGCTGTCATTTCGGCACAGCTGATGCCTACGACTCAATTGAATGGTGTTATTGCATGACCTAAGCACCGCATCAAGACCCAGCAGCAGTTGCGCTTCCCATCTTCGTGCGGTGTTGGATGCAAGCACAGACATGCAACCAGACATGGGCAACGAGTGAACAACGTGCGGGACACGAACTGGAGCTGTCATTTCGGCACAGCTGATGCTTACTCAATTGAATGGTGTTATTGCATGACCTAAGCACCGCATCAAGACCCAGCAGCAGTTGCGCTTCCCATCTTCGTGCGGTGTTGGATGCAAGCACAGACATGCAACCAGACATGCAACCAGACATGGGCAACGAGTGAACAACGTGCGGGACACGAACTGGAGCTGTCATTTCGGCACAGCTGATGCTTTCGACTCAATTGAATGGTGTTATTGCATGACCTAAGCACCGCATCAAGACCCAGCAGCAGTTGCGCTTCCCATCTTCGTGCGGTGTTGGATGCAAGCACAGACATGCAACCAGACATGCAACCAGACATGGGCAACGAGTGAACAACGTGCGGGACACGAACTGGAGCTGTCATTTCGGCACAGCTGATGCTTCGACTCAATTGAATGGTGTTATTGCATGACCTAAGCACCGCATCAAGACCCAGCAGCAGTTGCGCTTCCCATCTTCGTGCGGTGTTGGATGCAAGCACAGACATGCAACCAGACATGCAACCAGACATGGGCAACGAGTGAACAACGTGCGGGACACGAACTGGAGCTGTCATTTCGGCACAGCTGATGACTCAATTGAATGGTGTTATTGCATGACCTAAGCACCGCATCAAGACCCAGCAGCAGTTGCGCTTCCCATCTTCGTGCGGTGTTGGATGCAAGCACAGACATGCAACCAGACATGCAACCAGACATGGGCAACGAGTGAACAACGTGTGGTACACGAACTGGAGCTGTCATTTCGGCGCAGCTGATGACTCAATTGAATGGTGTTATTGCATGACCTAAGCACCGCATCAAGACCCAGCAGCAGTTGCGCTTCCCATCTTCGTGCGGTGTTGGATACAAGCATAGACATGCAACCAGACATGCAACCAGACATGGGCAACGAGTGAACAACGTGTAGTAAACGAACTGAAGCTGTCATTTCGGCACGGTTGGTGACTCAATTGAATGGTGTTATTGCATGACCTAAGCACCGCATCAAGACCCAGCAGCAGTTGCGCTTCCCATCTTCGTGCGGTGTTGGATGCAAGCACAGACATGCAACCAGACATGCAACCAGACATGGGCAACGAGTGAACAACGTGCGGGACACGAACTGGAGCTGTCATTTCGGCACAGCTGATGCTTTCGACTCAATTGAATGGTGTTATTGCATGACCTAAGCACCGCATCAAGACCCAGCAGCAGTTGCGCTTCCCATCTTCGTGCGGTGTTGGATGCAAGCACAGACATGCAACCAGACATGCAACCAGACATGGGCAACGAGTGAACAACGTGCGGGACACGAACTGGAGCTGTCATTTCGGCACAGCTGATGAATCAATTGAATGGTGTTATTGCATGACCTAAGCACCGCATCAAGACCCAGCAGCAGTTGCGCTTCCCATCTTCGTGCGGTGTTGGATGCAAGCACAGACATGCAACCAGACATGCAACCAGACATGGGCAACGAGTGAACAACGTGCGGGACACGAACTGGAGCTGTCATTTCGGCACAGCTGATGACTCAATTGAATGGTGTTATTGCATGACCTAAGCACCGCATCAAGACCCAGCAGCAGTTGCGCTTCCCATCTTCGTGCGGTGTTGGATGCAAGCACAGACATGCAACCAGACATGCAACCAGACATGGGCAACGAGTGAACAACGTGCGGGACACGAACTGGAGCTGTCATTTCGGCACAGCTGATGAACTCAATTGAATGGTGTTATTGCATGACCTAAGCACCGCATCAAGACCCAGCAGCAGTTGCGCTTCCCATCTTCGTGCGGTGTTGGATGCAAGCACAGACATGCAACCAGACATGCAACCAGACATGGGCAACGAGTGAACAACGTGCGGGACACGAACTGGAGCTGTCATTTCGGCACAGCTGATGATTCACTCAATTGAATGGTGTTATTGCATGACCTAAGCACCGCATCAAGAGCCAGCAGCAGTTGCGCTTCCCATCTTCGTGCGGTGTTGGATGCAAGCACAGACATGCAACCAGACATGCAACCAGACATGGGCAACGAGTGAACAACGTGCGGGACACGAACTGGAGCTGTCATTTCGGCACAGCTGATGACTCAATTGAATGGTGTTATTGCATGACCTAAGCACCGCATCAAGACCCAGCAGCAGTTGCGCTTCCCATCTTCGTGCGGTGTTGGATGCAAGCACAGACATGCAACCAGACATGCAACCAGACATGGGCAACAAGTGAACAACGTGTAGGACACGAACTGGAGCTGTCATTTCGGCGCAGCTGATGATTACGACTGATCAAGAGGTGTTATTGCATGACCTAAGCACCGCATCAAGACCCAGCAGCAGTTGCGCTTCCCATCTTCGTGCGGTGTTGGATGCAAGCACAGACATGCAACCAGACATGGGGCAACGAGTGAACAACGTGCGGGACACGAACTGGAGCTGTCATTTCGGCACAGCTGATGACTCAGTTGAATGGTGTTATTGCATGACCTAAGCACCGCATCAAGACCCAGCAGCAGTTGCGCTTCCCATCTTCGTGCGGTGTTGGATGCAAGCACAGACATGCAACCAGACATGGGCAACGAGTGAACAACGTGCGGGACACGAACTGGAGCTGTCATTTCGGCACAGCTGATGACTCAATTGAATCGTGTTATTGCATGACCTAAGCACCGCATCAAGACCCAGCAGCAGTTGCGCTTCCCATCTTCGTGCGGTGTTGGATGCAAGCACAGACATGCAACCAGACATGGGCAACGAGTGAACAACGTGCGGGACACGAACTGGAGCTGTCATTTCGGCACAGCTGATGACTCAATTGAATGGTGTTATTGCATGACCTAAGCACCGCATCAAGACCCAGCAGCAGTTGCGCTTCCCATCTTCGTGCGGTGTTGGATGCAAGCACAGACATGCAACCAGACATGCAACCAGACATGGGCAACGAGTGAACAACGTGCGGGACACGAACTGGAGCTGTCATTTCGGCACAGCTGATGACTCAATTGAATGGTGTTATTGCATGACCTAAGCACCGCATCAAGACCTAGCAGCAGTTGCGCTTCCCATCTTCGTGCGGTGTTGGATGCAAGCACAGACATGCAACCAGACATGCAACCAGACATGGGCAACAAGTGAACAACGTGTAGGACACGAACTGGAGCTGTCATTACGGCGCAGCTGATGATTACGACTGATCAAGAGGTGTTATTGCATGACCTAAGCACCGCATCAAGACCCAGCAGCAGTTGCGCTTCCCATCTTCGTGCGGTGTTGGATGCAAGCACAGACATGCAACCAGACATGGGGCAACGAGTGAACAACGTGCGGGACACGAACTGGAGCTGTCATTTCGGCACAGCTGATGACTCAATTGAATGGTGTTATTGCATGACCTAAGCACCGCATCAAGACCCAGCAGCAGTTGCGCTTCCCATCTTCGTGCGGTGTTGGATGCAAGCACAGACATGCAACCAGACATGGGCAACGAGTGAACAACGTGCGGGACACGAACTGGAGCTGTCATTTCGGCACAGCTGATGACTCAATTGAATGGTGTTATTGCATGACCTAAGCACCGCATCAAGACCCAGCAGCAGTTGCGCTTCCCATCTTCGTGCGGTGTTGGATGCAAGCACAGACATGCAACCAGACATGGGCAACGAGTGAACAACGTGCGGGACACGAACTGGAGCTGTCATTTCGGCACAGCTGATGACTCAATTGAATGGTGTTATTGCATGACCTAAGCACCGCATCAAGACCCAGCAGCAGTTGCGCTTCCCATCTTCGTGCGGTGTTGGATGCAAGCACAGACATGCAACCAGACATGCAACCAGACATGGGCAACGAGTGAACAACGTGCGGGACACGAACTGGAGCTGTCATTTCGGCACAGCTGATGCCTCAATTGAATGGTGTTATTGCATGACCTAAGCACCGCATCAAGACCCAGCAGCAGTTGCGCTTCCCATCTTCGTGCGGTGTTGGATGCAAGCACAGACATGCAACCAGACATGGACAACGAGTGAACAACGTGCGGGACACGAACTGGAGCTGTCATTTCGGCACAGCTGATGACTCAATTGAATGGTGTTATTGCATGACCTAAGCACCGCATCAAGACCCAGCAGCAGTTGCGCTTCCCATCTTCGTGCGGTGTTGGATGCAAGCACAGACATGCAACCAGACATGGGCAACGAGTGAACAACGTGCGGGACACGAACTGGAGCTGTCATTTCGGCACAGCTGATGCTTTCGACTCAATTGAATGGTGTTATTGCATGACCTAAGCACCGCATCAAGACCCAGCAGCAGTTGCGCTTCCCATCTTCGTGTGGTGTTGGATGCAAGCACAGACATGCAACCAGACATGGGCAACGAGTGAACAACGTGCGGGACACGAACTGGAGCTGTCATTTCGGCACAGCTGATGACTCAATTGAATGGTGTTATTGCATGACCTAAGCACCGCATCAAGACCCAGCAGCTGTTGCGCTTCCCATCTTCGTGCGGTGTTGGATGCAAGCACAGACATGCAACCAGACATGCAACCAGACATGGGCAACGAGTGAACAACGTGCGGGACACGAACTGGAGCTGTCATTTCGGCACAGTTGATGACTCAATTGAATGGTGTTATTGCATGACCTAAGCACCGCATCAAGACCCAGCAGCAGTTGCGCTTCCCATCTTCGTGCGGTGTTGGATGCAAGCACAGACATGCAACCAGACATGGGCAACGAGTGAACAACGTGCGGGACACGAACTGGAGCTGTCATTTCGGCACAGCTGATGACTCAGTTGAATGGTGTTATTGCATGACCTAAGCACCGCATCAAGACCCAGCAGCAGTTGCGCTTCCCATCTTCGTGCGGTGTTGGATGCAAGCACAGACATGCAACCAGACATGGGCAACGAGTGAACAACGTGCGGGACACGAACTGGAGCTGTCATTTCGGCACAGCTGATGACTCAATTGAATCGTGTTATTGCATGACCTAAGCACCGCATCAAGACCCAGCAGCAGTTGCGCTTCCCATCTTCGTGCGGTGTTGGATGCAAGCACAGACATGCAACCAGACATGGGCAACGAGTGAACAACGTGCGGGACACGAACTGGAGCTGTCATTTCGGCACATCTGATGATTCCGACTCATATGAGAGGTGTTATTACATGACCTAAGCACCGCATCAAGACCCAGCAGCAGTTGCGCTTCCCATCTTCGTGCGGTGTTGGATGCAAGCACAGACATGCAACCAGACATGCAACCAGACATGGGCAACGAGTGAACAACGTGTATTACACGAATTGGAGCTGTCATTTCGGCACAGCTGATGACTCAATTGAATGGTGTTATTGCATGACCTAAGCACCGCATCAAGAGCCAACAGCAGTTGCGCTTCCCATCTTCGTGCGGTGTTGGATGCAAGCACAGACATGCAACCGGACATGCAACCAGACATGGGCAACGAGTGAACAACGTGCGGTACACGAACTGGAGCTGTCATTTCGGCACAGCTGATGACTCAATTGAATGGTGTTATTGCATGACCTCAGCACCGCATCAAGACCCAGCAGCAGTTGCGCTTCCCATCTTCGTGCGGTGTTGGATGCAAGCACAGACATGCAACCAGACATGCAACCAGACATGGGCAACGAGTGAACAACGTGCGGGACACGAACTGGAGCTGTCATTTCGGCACAGCTGGTGAATCAATTGAATCGTGTTATTGCATGACCTAAGCACCGCATCAAGACCCAGCAGCAGTTGCGCTTCCCATCTTCGTGCGGTGTTGGATGCAAGCACAGACATGCAACCAGACATGCAACCAGACATGGGCAACGAGTGAACAACGTGCGGGACACGAACTGGAGCTGTCATTTCGGCACAGCTGATGATTCCGACTCAATTGAATGGTGTTATTGCATGACCTAAGCGCCGCATCAAGACCCAGCAGCAGTTGCGCTTCCCATCTTCGTGCGGTGTTGGATGCAAGCACAGACATGCAACCAGACATGCAACCAGACATGGGCAACGAGTGAACAACGTGCGGGACACGAACTGGAGCTGTCATTTCGGCACAGCTGATGACTCAATTGAATGGTGTTATTGCATGACCTAAGCACCGCATCAAGACCCAGCAGCAGTTGCGCTTCCCATCTTCGTGCGGTGTTGGATGCAAGCACAGACATGCAAACAGACATGCAACCAGACATGGGCAACGAGTGAACAACGTGCGGGACACAAACTGGAGCTGTCATTTCGGCACAGCTGATGACTCAATTGAATGGTGTTATTGCATGACCTAAGCACCGCATCAAGACCCAGCAGCAGTTGCGCTTCCCATCTTCGTGCGGTGTTGGATGCAAGCACAGACATGCAACCAGACATGGGCAAAGAGTGAACAACGTGCGGGACACGAACTGGAGCTGTCATTTCGGCACAGCTGATGACTCAATTGAATGGTGTTATTGCATGACCTAAGCACCGCATCAAGAGCCAGCAGCAGTTGCGCTTCCCATCTTCGTGCGGTGTTGGATGCAAGCACAGACATGCAACCAGACATGCAACCAGACATGGGCAACGAGTGAACAACGTGCGGGACACGAACTGGAGCTGTCATTTCGGCACAGCTGATGACTCAATTGAATGGTGTTATTGCATGACCTAAGCACCGCATTAAGACCCAGCAGCAGTTGCGCTTCCCATCTTCGTGCGGTGTTGGATGCAAGCACAGACATGCAACCAGACATGCAACCAGACATGGGCAACGAGTGAACAACGTGTAGTACACGAATTGGAGCTGTCATTTCGGCACAGCTGATGACTCAATTGAATGGTGTTATTGCATGACCTAAGCACCGCATCAAGAGCCAGCAGCAGTTGCGCTTCCCATCTTCGTGCGGTGTTGGATGCAAGCACAGACATGCAACCGGACATGCAACCAGACATGGGCAACGAGTGAACAACGTGCGGTACACGAACTGGAGCTGTCATTTCGGCACAGCTGATGACTCAATTGAATGGTGTTATTGCATGACCTCAGCACCGCATCAAGACCCAGCAGCAGTTGCGCTTCCCATCTTCGTGCGGTGTTGGATGCAAGCACAGACATGCAGCCAGACATGCAACCAGACATGGGCAACGAGTGAACAACGTGCGGGACACGAACTGGAGCTGTCATTTCGGCACAGCTGGTGAATCAATTGAATCGTGTTATTGCATGACCTAAGCACCGCATCAAGACCCAGCAGCAGTTGCGCTTCCCATCTTCGTGCGGTGTTGGATGCAAGCACAGACATGCAACCAGACATGCAACCAGACATGGGCAACGAGTGAACAACGTGCGGGACACGAACTGGAGCTGTCATTTCGGCACAGCTGATGACTCAATTGAATGGTGTTATTGCATGACCTAAGCACCGCATTAAGACCCAGCAGCAGTTGCGCTTCCCATCTTCGTGCGGTGTTGGATGCAAGCACAGACATGCAACCAGACATGGGCAACGAGTGAACAACGTGCGGGACACGAACTGGAGCTGTCATTTCGGCACATCTGGTGACTCAATTGAATGGTGTTATTGCATGACCTAAGCGCCGCATCAAGACCCAGCAGCAGTTGCGCTTCCCATCTTCGTGCGGTGTTGGATGCAAGCACAGACATGCAACCAGACATGCAACCAGACATGGGCAACGAGTGAACAACGTGCGGGACACGAACTGGAGCTGTCATTTCGGCACAGCTGATGACTCAATTGAATGGTGTTATTGCATGACCTAAGCACCGCATCAAGACCCAGCAGCAGTTGCGCTTCCCATCTTCGTGCGGTGTTGGATGCAAGCACAGACATGCAAACAGACATGCAACCAGACATGGGCAACGAGTGAACAACGTGCGGGACACAAACTGGAGCTGTCATTTCGGCACAGCTGATGACTCAATTGAATGGTGTTATTGCATGACCTAAGCACCGCATCAAGACCCAGCAGCAGTTGCGCTTCCCATCTTCGTGCGGTGTTGGATGCAAGCACAGACATGCAACCAGACATGGGCAAAGAGTGAACAACGTGCGGGACACGAACTGGAGCTGTCATTTCGGCACAGCTGATGACTCAATTGAATGGTGTTATTGCATGACCTAAGCACCGCATCAAGAGCCAGCAGCAGTTGCGCTTCCCATCTTCGTGCGGTGTTGGATGCAAGCACAGACATGCAACCAGACATGCAACCAGACATGGGCAACGAGTGAACAACGTGCGGGACACGAACTGGAGCTGTCATTTCGGCACAGCTGATGACTCAATTGAATGGTGTTATTGCATGACCTAAGCACCGCATTAAGACCCAGCAGCAGTTGCGCTTCCCATCTTCGTGCGGTGTTGGATGCAAGCACAGACATGCAACCAGACATGGGCAACGAGTGAACAACGTGCGGGACACGAACTGGAGCTGTCATTTCGGCACATCTGGTGACTCAGTTGAATGATGTTATTGCATGATCTAAGCGCCGCATCAAGACCCAGCAGCAGTTGCGCTTCCCATCTTCGTGCGGTGTTGGATGCAAGCACAGACATGCAACCAGACATGCAACCAGACATGGGCAACGAGTGAACAACGTGCGGGACACGAACTGGAGCTGTCATTTCGGCACAGCTGATGACTCAATTGAATGGTGTTATTGCATGACCTAAGCACCGCATCAAGACCCAGCAGCAGTTGCGCTTCCCATCTTCGTGCGGTGTTGGATGCAAGCACAGACATGCAACCAGACATGCAACCAGACATGGGCAACAAGTGAACAACGTGTAGGACACGAATTGGAGCTGTCATTACGGCACAGCTGATGCCTACGACTCAATTGAATGGTGTTATTGCATGACCTAAGCACCGCATCAAGACATAGCAGCAGTTGTGCTTCCCATCTTCGTGCGGTGTTGGATGCAAGCACAGACATGCAACCAGACATGGGCAAAGAGTGAACAACGTGCGGGACACGAACTGGAGCTGTCATTTCGGCACAGCTGATGACTCAATTGAATGGTGTTATTGCATGACCTAAGCACCGCATCAAGACCCAGCAGCAGTTGCGCTTCCCATCTTCGTGCGGTGTTGGATGCAAGCACAGACATGCAACCAGACATGCAACCAGACATGGGCAACAAGTGAACAACGTGTAGGACACGAATTGGAGCTGTCATTTCGGCGCAGCTGATGATTACGACTGATTAAGAGGTGTTATTGCATGACCTAAGCACCGCATCAAGAGCCAGCAGCAGTTGCGCTTCCCATCTTCGTGCGGTGTTGGATGCAAGCACAGACATGCAACCAGACATGCAACCAGACATGGGCAACGAGTGAACAACGTGCGGGACACGAACTGGAGCTGTCATTTCGGCACAGCTGATGAATCAATTGAATGGTGTTATTGCATGACCTAAGCACCGCATCAAGACCCAGCAGCAGTTGCGCTTCCCATCTTCGTGCGGTGTTGGATGCAAGCACAGACATGCAACCAGACATGCAACCAGACATGGGCAACGAGTGAACAACGTGTAGGACACGAATTGGAGCTGTCATTACGACGCAGCTGATGATTACGACTGATCAAGAGGTGTTATTGCATGACCTATGCATCGCATCAAGACCCAGCAGCAGTTGCGCTTCCCATCTTCGTGCGGTGTTGGATGCAAGCACAGACATGCAACCAGAAATGCAACCAGACATGGGCAACAAGTGAACAACGTGCGGGACACGAACTGGAGCTGTCATTTCGGCACAGCTGATGACTCAATTGAATCGTGTTATTGCATGACCTAAGCACCGCATCAAGAGCCAGCAGCAGTTGCGCTTCCCATCTTCGTGCGGTGTTGGATGCAAGCACAGACATGCAACCAGACATGCAACCAGACATGGGCAACGAGTGAACAACGTGTAGTAAACGAACTGAAGCTGTCATTTCGGCACAGCTGATGACTCAATTGAATGGTGTTATTGCATGACCTAAGCACCGCATCAAGACCCAGCAGCAGTTGCGCTTCCCATCTTCGTGCGGTGTTGGATGCAAGCACAGACATGCAACCAGACATGGGCAACGAGTGAACAACGTGCGGGACACGAACTGGAGCTGTCATTTCGGCACAGCTGATGACTGAATTGAATGGTGTTATTGCATGACCTAAGCACCGCATCAAGAGCCAGCAACAGTTGCGCTTCCCATCTTCGTGCGGTGTTGGATGCAAGCACAGACATGCAACCAGACATGCAACCAGACATGGGCAACGAGTGAACAACGTGCGGGACACGAACTGGAGCTGTCATTTCGGCACAGCTGATGACTCAATTGAATGGTGTTATTGCATGACCTAAGCACCGCATCAAGACCCAGCAGCAGTTGCGCTTCCCATCTTCGTGCGGTGTTGGATGCAAGCACAGACATGCAACCAGACATGGGCAACGAGTGAACAACGTGCGGGACACGAACTGGAGCTGTCATTTCGGCACAGCTGATGACTCAATTGAATGGTGTTATTGCATGACCTAAGCACCGCATCAAGACCCAGCAGCAGTTGCGCTTCCCATCTTCGTGCGGTGTTGGATGCAAGCACAGACATGCAACCAGACATGCAACCAGACATGGGCAACGAGTGAACAACGTGTAGTACACGAATTGGAGCTGTCATTTCGGCACAGCTGATGACTCAATTGAATGGTGTTATTGCATGACCTAAGCACCGCATCAAGACCTAGCAGCAGTTGCGCTTCCCATCTTCGTGCGGTGTTGGATGCAAGCACAGACATGCAACCAGACATGCAACCAGACATGGGCAACGAGTGAACAACGTGTAGTACACGAACTGGAGCTGTCATTTCGGCACAGCTGATGACTCAATTGAATGGTGTTATTGCATGACCTAAGCACCGCATCAAGAGCCAGCAGCAGTTGCGCTTCCCATCTTCGTGCGGTGTTGGATGCAAGCACAGACATGCAACCAGACATGCAACTAGACATGGGCAACGAGTGAACAACGTGCGGGACACGAACTGGAGCTGTCATTTCGGCACAGCTGATGACTCAATTGAATGGTGTTATTGTATGACCTAAGCACCGCATCAAGACCCAGCAACAGTTGCGCTTCCCATCTTCGTGCGGTGTTGGATGCAAGCACAGACATGCAACCAGACATGCAACCAGACATGGGCAACGAGTGAACAACGTGTAGTACACGAACTGGAGCTGTCATTTCGGCACAGCTGATGACTCAATTGAATGGTGTTATTGCATGACCTAAGCACCGCATCAAGACCCAGCAGCAGTTGCGCTTCCCATCTTCGTGCGGTGTTGGATGCAAGCACAGACATGCAACCAGACATGGGCAAAGAGTGAACAACGTGCGGGACACGAACTGGAGCTGTCATTTCGGCACAGCTGATGACTCAATTGAATGGTGTTATTGCATGACCTAAGCACCGCATCAAGACCCAGCAGCAGTTGCGCTTCCCATCTTCGTGCGGTGTTGGATGCAAGCACAGACATGCAACCAGACATGCAACCAGACATGGGCAACAAGTGAACAACGTGTAGGACACGAATTGGAGCTGTCATTACGGCGCAGCTGATGATTACGACTGATTAAGAGGTGTTATTGCATGACCTAAGCACCGCATCAAGACCCAGCAGCAGTTGCGCTTCCCATCTTCGTGCGGTGTTGGATGCAAGCACAGACATGCAACCAGACATGCAACCAGACATGGGCAACGAGTGAACAACGTGCGGGACACGAACTGGAGCTGTCATTTCGGCACAGCTGATGAATCAATTGAATCGTGTTATTGCATGACCTAAGCACCGCATCAAGACCCAGCAGCAGTTGCGCTTCCCATCTTCGTGCGGTGTTGGATGCAAGCACAGACATGCAACCAGACATGCAACCAGACATGGGCAACGAGTGAACAACGTGTAGTACACGAACTGGAGCTGTCATTTCGGCACAGCTGATGACTCAATTGAATGGTGTTATTGCATGACCTAAGCACCGCATCAAGACCCAGCAGCAGTTGCGCTTCCCATCTTCGTGCGGTGTTGGATGCAAGCACAGACATGCAACCAGACATGCAACCAGACATGGGCAACGAGTGAACAACGTGCGGGACACGAACTGGAGCTGTCATTTCGGCACAGCTGATGATTCCGACTCAATTGAATGGTGTTATTGCATGACCTAAGCACCGCATCAAGACCCAGCAGCAGTTGCGCTTCCCATCTTCGTGCGGTGTTGGATGCAAGCACAGACATGCAACCAGACATGCAACCAGACATGGGCAACGAGTGAACAACGTGCGGGACACGAACTGGAGCTGTCATTTCGGCACAGCTGATGACTCAATTGAATGGTGTTATTGCATGACCTAAGCACCGCATCAAGACCCAGTAGCAGTTGCGCTTCCCATCTTCGTGCGGTGTTGGATGCAAGCACAGACATGCAACCAGACATGCAACCAGACATGGGCAACGAGTGAACAACGTGTAGTACACGAACTGGAGCTGTCATTTCGGCACAGCTGATGACTCAATTGAATGGTGTTATTGCATGACCTAAGCACCGCATCAAGACCCAGCAGCAGTTGCGCTTCCCATCTTCGTGCGGTGTTGGATGCAAGCACAGACATGCAACCAGACATGCAACCAGACATGGGCAACGAGTGAACAACGTGTAGTACACGAACTGGAGCTGTCATTTCGGCACAGCTGATGGCTCAATTGAATGGTGTTATTGCATGACCTAAGCACCGCATCAAGACCCAGCAGCAATTGCGCTTCCCATCTTCGTGCGGTGTTGGATGCAAGCACAGACATGCAACCAGACATGCAACCAGACATGGGCAACAAGTGAACAACGTGTAGGACACGAATTAGAGCTGTCATTACGGCGCAGCTGATGATTACGACTGATTAAGAGGTGATATTGCATGACCTAAGCACCGCATCAAGACCCAGCAGCAGTTGCGCTTCCCATCTTCGTGCGGTGTTGGATGCAAGCACAGACATGCAACCAGACATGGGCAACAAGTGAACAACGTGTAGGACACGAATTGGAGCTGTCATTACGGCGCAGCTGATGATTACGACTGATTAAGAAGTGTTATTGCATGATCTAAGCACCGCATCAAGACCCAGCAGCAGTTGCGCTTCCCATCTTCGTGCGGTGTTGGATGCAAGCACAGACATGCAACCAGACATGGGCAACGAGTGAACAACGTGCGGGACACGAACTGGAGCTGTCATTTCGGCACAGCTGATGACTCAATTGAATGGTGTTATTGCATGACCTAAGCACCGCATCAAGACCCAGCAGCAGTTGCGCTTCCCATCTTCGTGCGGTGTTGGATGCAAGCACAGACATGCAACCAGACATGGGCAACGAGTGAACAACGTGCGGGACACGAATTGGAGCTGTCATTACGGCACAGCTGATGACTCAATTGAATGGTGTTATTGCATGACCTAAGCACCGCATCAAGACCTAGCAGCAGTTGCGCTTCCCATCTTCGTGCGGTGTTGGATGCAAGCACAGACATGCAACCAGACATGCAACCAGACATGGGCAACAAGTGAACAACGTGTAGGACACGAATTGGAGCTGTCATTACGACGCAGCTGATGATTACGACTGATCAAGAGGTGTTATTGCATGACCTATGCATCGCATCAAGACCCAGCAGCAGTTGCGCTTCCCATCTTCGTGCGGTGTTGGATGCAAGCACAGACATGCAACCAGAAATGCAACCAGACATGGGCAACGAGTGAACAACGTGCGGTACACGAACTGGAGCTGCCATTTCGGCACAGCTGATGACTCAATTGAATGGTGTTATTGCATGACCTAAGGCCCGCATCAGGACCCAGCAGCAGTTGCGCTTCCCATCTTCGTGCGGTGTTGGATGCAAGCACAGACATGCAACCAGACATGCAACCAGACATGGGCAACAAGTGAACAACGTTCGGGACACGAACTGGAGCTGCCATTTCGGCACAGCTTATGACTCAATTGAATGGTGTTATTGCATGACCTAAGCACCGCATCAAGACCCAGCAGCAGTTGCGCTTCCCATCTTCGTGCGGTGTTGGATGCAAGCACAGACATGCAACCAGACATGGGCAACGAGTGAACAACGTGCGGGACACGAACTGGAGCTGTCATTTCGGCACATCTGGTGACTCAGTTGAAGGATGTTATTGCATGACCTAAGCACCGCATCAAGACCCAGCAGCAGTTGCGCTTCCCATCTTCGTGCGGTGTTGGATGCAAGCACAGACATGCAACCAGACATGGGCAACAAGTGAACAACGTTCGGGACACGAACTGGAGCTGCCATTTCGGCACAGCTGATGACTCAATTGAATGGTGTTATTGCATGACCTAAGGCCCGCATCAGGACCCAGCAGCAGTTGCGCTTCCCATCTTCGTGCGGTGTTGGATGCAAGCACAGACATGCAACCAGACATGCAACCAGACATGGGCAACAAGTGAACAACGTTCGGGACACGAACTGGAGCTGCCATTTCGGCACAGCTTATGACTCAATTGAATGGTGTTATTGCATGACCTAAGCACCGCATCAAGACCCAGCAGCAGTTGCGCTTCCCATCTTCGTGCGGTGTTGGATGCAAGCACAGACATGCAACCAGATATGCAACCAGACATGGGCAACGAGTGAACAACGTGTAGACCCAGCAGCAGTTGCGCTTCCCATATTCGTGCGGTGTTGGATGCAAGCACAGACATGCAAACAGACATGCAACCAGACATGGGCAACGAGTGAACAACGTGCGGGACACAAACTGGAGCTGTCATTTCGGCACAGCTGATGACTCAATTGAATGGTGTTATTGCATGACCTAAGCACCGCATCAAGAGCCAGCAGCAGTTGCGCTTCCCATCTTCGTGCGGTGTTGGATGCAAGCACAGACATGCAACCAGACATGCAACCAGACATGGGCAACAAGTGAACAACGTTCGGGACACGAACTGGAGCTGTCATTTCGGCACAGCTGATGACTCAATTGAATGGTGTTATTGCATGACCTAAGCACCGCATCAAGACCCAGCAGCTGTTGCGCTTCCCATCTTCGTGCGGTGTTGGATGCAAGCACAGACATGCAACCAGACATGCAACCAGACATGGGCAACGAGTGAACAACGTGCGGGACACGAACTGGAGCTGTCATTTCGGCACAGCTGATGACTCAATTGAATGGTGTTATTGCATGACCTAAGCACCGCATCAAGACCCAGCAGCAGTTGCGCTTCCCATCTTCGTGCGGTGTTGGATGCAAGCACAGACATGCAACCAGACATGGGCAACGAGTGAACAACGTGCGGGACACGAACTGGAGCTGTCATTTCGGCACAGCTGATGACTCAATTGAATGGTGTTATTGCATGACCTAAGCACCGCATCAAGACCCAGCAGCAGTTGCGCTTCCCATCTTCGTGCGGTGTTGGATGCAAGCACAGACATGCAACCAGACATGGGCAACAAGTGAACAACGTTCGGGACACGAACTGGAGCTGCCATTTCGGCACAGCTGATGACTCAATTGAATGGTGTTATTGCATGACCTAAGCACCGCATCAAGAGCCAGCAGCAGTTGCGCTTCCCATCTTCGTGCGGTGTTGGATGCAAGCACAGACATGCAACCAGACATGCAACCAGACATGGGCAACGAGTGAACAACGTGCGGGACACGAACTGGAGCTGTCATTTCGGCACAGCTGATGATTCAATTGAATGGTGTTATTGCATGACCTAAGTACCGCATCAAGACCCAGCAACAGTTGCGCTTCCCATCTTCGTGCGGTGTTGGATGCAAGCACAGACATGCAACCAGACATGCAACCAGACATGGGCAACGAGTGAACAACGTGCGGGACACGAACTGGAGCTGTCATTTCGGCACAGCTGATGACTCAATTGAATGGTGTTATTGCATGACATAAGCACCGCATCAAGACCCAGCAACAGTTGCGCTTCCCATCTTCGTGCGGTGTTGGATGCAAGCACAGACATGCAACCAGACATGCAACCAGACATGGGCAACGAGTGAACAACGTGCGGGACACGAACTGGAGCTGTCATTTCGGCACAGCTGATGACTCAATTGAATGGTGTTATTGCATGACCTAAGCACCGCATCAAGACCCAGCAGCAGTTGCGCTTCCCATCTTCGTGCGGTGTTGGATGCAAGCACAGACATGCAACCAGACATGGGCAACGAGTGAACAACGTGCGGGACACGAACTGGAGCTGTCATTTCGGCACAGCTGATGACTCAATTGAATCGTGTTATTGCATGACCTAAGCACCGCATCAAGACCCAGCAGCAGTTGCGCTTCCCATCTTCGTGCGGTGTTGGATGCAAGCACAGACATGCAACCAGACATGCAACCAGACATGGGCAACGAGTGAACAACGTGTAGTACACGAATTGGAGCTGTCATTTCGGCACAGCTGATGACTCAATTGAATGGTGTTATTGCATGACCTAAGCACCGCATCAAGACCCAGCAGCAGTTGCGCTTCCCATCTTCGTGCGGTGTTGGATGCAAGCACAGACATGCAACCAGACATGCAACCAGACATGGGCAACGAGTGAACAACGTGCGGGACACGAACTGGAGCTGTCATTTCGGCACAGCTGATGACTCAATTGAATGGTGTTATTGCATGACCTAAGCACCGCATCAAGACCCAGCAGCTGTTGCGCTTCCCATCTTCGTGCGGTGTTGGATGCAAGCACAGACATGCAACCAGACATGCAACCAGACATGGGCAACGAGTGAACAACGTGCGGGACACGAACTGGAGCTGTCATTTCGGCACAGCTGATGACTCAATTGAATGGTGTTATTGCATGACCTAAGCACCGCATCAAGACCCAGCAGCAGTTGCGCTTCCCATCTTCGTGCGGTGTTGGATGCAAGCACAGACATGCAACCAGACATGGGCAACGAGTGAACAACGTGCGGGACACGAACTGGAGCTGTCATTTCGGCACAGCTGATGACTCAATTGAATGGTGTTATTGCATGACCTCAGCACCGCATCAAGACCCAGCAGCAGTTGCGCTTCCCATCTTCGTGCGGTGTTGGATGCAAGCACAGACATGCAACCAGACATGCAACCAGACATGGACAACGAGTGAACAACGTGTAGTACACGAACTGGAGCTGTCATTTCGGCACAGCTGATGACTCAATTGAATCGTGTTATTGCATGACCTAAGCACCGCATCAAGACCCAGCAGCAGTTGCGCTTCCCATCTTCGTGCGGTGTTGGATGCAAGCACAGACATGCAACCAGACATGGGCAACGAGTGAACAACGTGCGGGACACGAACTGGAGCTGTCATTTCGGCACAGCTGATGACTCAATTGAATGGTGTTATTGCATGACCTAAGCACCGCATCAAGACCCAGCAGCTGTTGCGCTTCCCATCTTCGTGCGGTGTTGGATGCAAGCACAGACATGCAACCAGACATGGGCAACGAGTGAACAACGTGCGGGACACGAACTGGAGCTGTCATTTCGGCACAGCTGATGACTCAATTGAATGGTGTTATTGCATGACCTAAGCACCGCATCAAGACCCAGCAGCAGTTGCGCTTCCCATCTTCGTGCGGTGTTGGATGCAAGCACAGACATGCAACCAGACATGGGCAACGAGTGAACAACGTGCGGGACACGAACTGGAGCTGTCATTTCGGCACAGCTGATGACTCAATTGAATGGTGTTATTGCATGACCTAAGCACCGCATCAAGACCCAGCAGCAGTTGCGCTTCCCATCTTCGTGCGGTGTTGGATGCAAGCACAGACATGCAACCAGACATGGGCAACGAGTGAACAACGTGCGGGACACGAACTGGAGCTGTCATTTCGGCACAGCTGATGACTCAATTGAATCGTGTTATTGCATGACCTAAGCACCGCATCAAGACCCAGCAGCAGTTGCGCTTCCCATCTTCGTGCGGTGTTGGATGCAAGCACAGACATGCAACCAGACATGGGCAACGAGTGAACAACGTGCGGGACACGAACTGGAGCTGTCATTTCGGCACAGCTGATGACTCAATTGAATGGTGTTATTGCATGACCTAAGCACCGCATCAAGACCCAGCAGCAGTTGCGCTTCCCATATTCGTGCGGTGTTGGATGCAAGCACAGACATGCAAACAGACATGCAACCAGACATGGGCAACGAGTGAACAACGTGCGGGACACGAACTGGAGCTGTCATTTCGGCACAGCTGATGACTCAATTGAATGGTGTTATTGCATGACCTAAGCACCGCATCAAGAGCCAGCAGCAGTTGCGCTTCCCATCTTCGTGCGGTGTTGGATGCAAGCACAGACATGCAACCGGACATGCAACCAGACATGGGCAACGAGTGAACAACGTGCGGGACACGAACTGGAGCTGTCATTTCGGCACAGCTGATGACTCAATTGAATGGTGTTATTGCATGACCTCAGCACCGCATCAAGACCCAGCAGCAGTTGCGCTTCCCATCTTCGTGCGGTGTTGGATGCAAGCACAGACATGCAACCAGACATGCAACCAGACATGGGCAACGAGTGAACAACGTGCGGGACACGAACTGGAGCTGTCATTTCGGCACAGCTGATGATTCCGACTCAATTGAATGGTGTTATTGCATGACCTAAGCACCGCATCAAGAGCCAGCAGCAGTTGCGCTTTCCATCTTCGTGCGGTGTTGGATGCAAGCACAGACATGCAACCGGACATGCAACCAGACATGGGCAACGAGTGAACAACGTGCGGGACACGAACTGGAGCTGTCATTTCGGCACAGCTGATGACTCAATTGAATGGTGTTATTGCATGACCTAAGCACCGCATCAAGACCCAGCAGCAGTTGCGCTTCCCATCTTCGTGCGGTGTTGGATGCAAGCACAGACATGCAACCAGACATGGGCAACGAGTGAACAACGTGCGGGACACGAACTGGAGCTGTCATTTCGGCACAGCTGATGACTCAATTGAATGGTGTTATTGCATGAACTAAGCACCGCATCAAGAGCCAGCAGCAGTTGCGCTTCCCATCTTCGTGCGGTGTTGGATGCAAGCACAGACATGCAACCAGACATGCAACCAGACATGGGCAACGAGTGAACAACGTGTAGTAAACGAACTGAAGCTGTCATTTCGGCACAGCTGATGACTCAATTGAATGGTGTTATTGCATGACCTCAGCACCGCATCAAGACCCAGCAGCAGTTGCGCTTCCCATCTTCGTGCGGTGTTGGATGCAAGCACAGACATGCAACCAGACATGGGCAACGAGTGAACAACGTGCGGGACACGAACTGGAGCTGTCATTTCGGCACATCTGATGATTCCGACTCATATGAGAGGTGTTATTACATGACCTAAGCACCGCATCAAGACCCAGCAGCAGTTGCGCTTCCCATCTTCGTGCGGTGTTGGATGCAAGCACAGACATGCAACCAGACATGCAACCAGACATGGGCAACGAGTGAACAACGTGCGGTACACGAACTGGAGCTGTCATTTCGGCACAGCTGATGACTCAATTGAATGGTGTTATTGCATGACCTAAGCACCGCATCAAGACCCAGCAGCAGTTGCGCTTCCCATCTTCGTGCGGTGTTGGATGCAAGCACAGACATGCAACCGGACATGCAACCAGACATGGGCAACGAGTGAACAACGTGCGGTACACGAACTGGAGCTGTCATTTCGGCACAGCTGATGACTCAATTGAATGGTGTTATTGCATGACCTCAGCACCGCATCAAGACCCAGCAGCAGTTGCGCTTCCCATCTTCGTGCGGTGTTGGATGCAAGCACAGACATGCAACCAGACATGCAACCAGACATGGGCAACGAGTGAACAACGTGTAGTACACGAACTGGAGCTGTCATTTCGGCACAGCTGATGACTAAATTGAATGGTGTTATTGCATGACCTAAGCACCGCATCAAGAGCCAGCAGCAGTTGCGCTTCCCATCTTCGTGCGGTGTTGGATGCAAGCACAGACATGCAACCGGACATGCAACCAGACATGGGCAACGAGTGAACAACGTGCGGGACACGAACTGGAGCTGTCATTTCGGCACAGCTGATGACTCAATTGAATGGTGTTATTGCATGACCTAAGCACCGCATCAAGACCCAGCAGCAGTTGCGCTTCCCATCTTCGTGCGGTGTTGGATGCAAGCACAGACATGCAACCAGACATGCAACCAGACATGGGCAACGAGTGAACAACGTGCGGGACACGAACTGGAGCTGTCATTTCGGCACATCTGGTGACTCAGTTGAATGATGTTATTGCATGATCTAAGCGCCGCATCAAGACCCAGCAGCAGTTGCGCTTCCCATCTTCGTGCGGTGTTGGATGCAAGCACAGACATGCAACCAGACATGCAACCAGACATGGGCAACGAGTGAACAACGTGCGGGACACGAACTGGAGCTGTCATTTCGGCACAGCTGATGACTCAATTGAATGGTGTTATTGCATGACCTAAGTACCGCATCAAGACCTAGCAGCAGTTGCGCTTCCCATCTTCGTGCGGTGTTGGATGCAAGCACAGACATGCAACCAGACATGCAACCAGACATGGGCAACGAGTGAACAACGTGTAGGACACGAATTGGAGCTGTCATTACGACGCAGTTGATGATTACGACTGATCAAGAGGTGTTATTGCATGACCTATGCATCGCATCAAGACCCAGCAGCAGTTGCGCTTCCCATCTTCGTGCGGTGTTGGATGCAAGCACAGACATGCAACCAGAAATGCAACCAGACATGGGCAACGAGTGAACAACGTGCGGGACACGAACTGGAGCTGTCATTTCGGCACAGCTGATGACTCAATTGAATGGTGTTATTGCATGACCTAAGCACCGCATCAAGACCCAGCAGCAGTTGCGCTTCCCATCTTCGTGCGGTGTTGGATGCAAGCACAGACATGCAACCAGACATGGGCAACGAGTGAACAACGTGCGGGACACGAACTGGAGCTGTCATTTCGGCACAGCTGATGACTCAATTGAATGGTGTTATTGCATGACCTAAGCACCGCATCAAGACCCAGCAGCAGTTGCGCTTCCCATCTTCGTGCGGTGTTGGATGCAAGCACAGACATGCAACCAGACATGGGCAACGAGTGAACAACGTGCGGGACACGAACTGGAGCTGTCATTTCGGCACAGCTGATGACTCAATTGAATGGTGTTATTGCATGACCTAAGCACCGCATCAAGACCCAGCAGCAGTTGCGCTTCCCATCTTCGTGCGGTGTTGGATGCAAGCACAGACATGCAACCAGACATGCAACCAGACATGGGCAACAAGTGAACAACGTTCGGGACACGAACTGGAGCTGCCATTTCGGCACAGCTGATGACTCAATTGAATGGTGTTATTGCATGACCTAAGGCCCGCATCAGGACCCAGCAGCAGTTGCGCTTCCCATCTTCGTGCGGTGTTGGATGCAAGCACAGACATGCAACCAGACATGCAACCAGACATGGGCAACAAGTGAACAACGTTCGGGACACGAACTGGAGCTGCCATTTCGGCACAGCTGATGACTCAATTAAATGGTGTTATTGCATGACCTAAGGCCCGCATCAGGAGCCAGCAGCAGTTGCGCTTCCCATCTTCGTGCGGTGTTGGATGCAAGCACAGACATGCAACCAGATATGCAACCAGACATGGGCAACGAGTGAACAACGTGTAGACCCAGCAGCAGTTGCGCTTCCCATATTCGTGCGGTGTTGGATGCAAGCACAGACATGCAAACAGACATGCGACCAGACATGGGCAACGAGTGAACAACGTGCGGGACACAAACTGGAGCTGTCATTTCGGCACAGCTGATGACTCAATTGAATGGTGTTATTGCATGACCTAAGCACCGCATCAAGAGCCAGCAGCAGTTGCGCTTCCCATCTTCGTGCGGTGTTGGATGCAAGCACAGACATGCAACCGGACATGCAACCAGACATGGGCAACGAGTGAACAACGTGCGGGACACGAACTGGAGCTGTCATTTCGGCACAGCTGATGACTCAATTGAATGGTGTTATTGCATGACCTCAGCACCGCATCAAGACCCAGCAGCAGTTGCGCTTCCCATCTTCGTGCGGTGTTGGATGCAAGCACAGACATGCAACCAGACATGCAACCAGACATGGGCAACGAGTGAACAACGTGCGGGACACGAACTGGAGCTGTCATTTCGGCACAGCTGATGACTCAATTGAATGGTGTTATTGCATGACCTAAGCACCGCATCAAGACCCAGCAGCAGTTGCGCTTCCCATCTTCGTGCGGTGTTGGATGCAACCAGACATGCAACCAGACATGGGCAACGAGTGAACAACGTGCGGGACACGAACTGGAGCTGTCATTTCGGCACAGCTGATGACTCAATTGAATCGTGTTATTGCATGACCTAAGCACCGCATCAAGACCCAGCAGCTGTTGCGCTTCCCATCTTCGTGCGGTGTTGGATGCAAGCACAGACATGCAACCAGACATGCAACCAGACATGGGCAACGAGTGAACAACGTGCAATACACGAACTGGAGCTGTCATTTCGGCACAGCTGATGACTCAATTGAATGGTGTTATTGCATGACCTCAGCACCGCATCAAGACCCAGCAGCAGTTGCGCTTCCCATCTTCGTGCGGTGTTGGATGCAAGCACAGACATGCAACCAGACATGGGCAACGAGTGAACAACGTGCGGGACACGAACTGGAGCTGTCATTTCGGCACAGCTGATGACTCAATTGAATGGTGTTATTGCATGACCTAAGCACCGCATCAAGACCCAGCAGCAGTTGCGCTTCCCATATTCGTGCGGTGTTGGATGCAAGCACAGACATGCAAACAGACATGCAACCAGACATGGGCAACGAGTGAACAACGTGCGGGACACAAACTGGAGCTGTCATTTCGGCACAGCTGATGACTCAATTGAATGGTGTTATTGCATGACCTAAGCACCGCATCAAGAGCCAGCAGCAGTTGCGCTTCCCATCTTCGTGCGGTGTTGGATGCAAGCACAGACATGCAACCGGACATGCAACCAGACATGGGCAACGAGTGAACAACGTGCGGGACACGAACTGGAGCTGTCATTTCGGCACAGCTGATGACTCAATTGAATGGTGTTATTGCATGACCTCAGCACCGCATCAAGACCCAGCAGCAGTTGCGCTTCCCATCTTCGTGCGGTGTTGGATGCAAGCACAGACATGCAACCAGACATGCAACCAGACATGGGCAACGAGTGAACAACGTGCGGGACACGAACTGGAGCTGTCATTTCGGCACAGCTGATGACTCAATTGAATGGTGTTATTGCATGACCTAAGCACCGCATCAAGACCCAGCAGCAGTTGCGCTTCCCATCTTCGTGCGGTGTTGGATGCAAGCACAGACATGCAACCAGACATGGGCAACGAGTGAACAACGTGCGGGACACGAACTGGAGCTGTCATTTCGGCACAGCTGATGACTCAATTGAATGGTGTTATTGCATGACCTAAGCACCGCATCAAGACCCAGCAGCAGTTGCGCTTCCCATATTCGTGCGGTGTTGGATGCAAGCACAGACATGCAAACAGACATGCAACCAGACATGGGCAACGAGTGAACAACGTGCGGGACACGAACTGGAGCTGTCATTTCGGCACAGCTGATGACTCAATTGAATGGTGTTATTGCATGACCTAAGCACCGCATCAAGAGCCAGCAGCAGTTGCGCTTCCCATCTTCGTGCGGTGTTGGATGCAAGCACAGACATGCAACCGGACATGCAACCAGACATGGGCAACGAGTGAACAACGTGCGGGACACGAACTGGAGCTGTCATTTCGGCACAGCTGATGACTCAATTGAATGGTGTTATTGCATGACCTCAGCACCGCATCAAGACCCAGCAGCAGTTGCGCTTCCCATCTTCGTGCGGTGTTGGATGCAAGCACAGACATGCAACCAGACATGCAACCAGACATGGGCAACGAGTGAACAACGTGCGGGACACGAACTGGAGCTGTCATTTCGGCACAGCTGATGACTCAATTGAATGGTGTTATTGCATGACCTAAGCACCGCATCAAGACCCAGCAGCAGTTGCGCTTCCCATCTTCGTGCGGTGTTGGATGCAAAGCACAGACATGCAACCAGACATGGGCAACGAGTGAACAACGTGCGGGACACGAACTGGAGCTGTCATTTCGGCACAGCTGATGACTCAATTGAATGGTGTTATTGCATGACCTAAGCACCGCATCAAGACCCAGCAGCTGTTGCGCTTCCCATCTTCGTGCGGTGTTGGATGCAAGCACAGACATGCAACCAGACATGGGCAACGAGTGAACAACGTGCGGGACACGAACTGGAGCTGTCATTTCGGCACAGCTGATGACTCAATTGAATGGTGTTATTGCATGACCTCAGCACCGCATCAAGACCCAGCAGCAGTTGCGCTTCCCATCTTCGTGCGGTGTTGGATGCAAGCACAGACATGCAACCAGACATGGGCAACGAGTGAACAACGTGCGGGACACGAACTGGAGCTGTCATTTCGGCACAGCTGATGACTCAATTGAATGGTGTTATTGCATGACCTAAGCACCGCATCAAGACCCAGCAGCAGTTGCGCTTCCCATCTTCGTGCGGTGTTGGATGCAAGCACAGACATGCAACCAGACATGGGCAACGAGTGAACAACGTGCGGGACACGAACTGGAGCTGTCATTTCGGCACAGCTGATGACTCAATTGAATCGTGTTATTGCATGACCTAAGCACCGCATCAAGACCCAGCAGCAGTTGCGCTTCCCATCTTCGTGCGGTGTTGGATGCAAGCACAGACATGCAACCAGACATGGGCAACGAGATGAACAACGTGCGGGACACGAACTGGAGCTGTCATTTCGGCACAGCTGATGACTCAATTGAATGGTGTTATTGCATGACCTAAGCACCGCATCAAGACCCAGCAGCTGTTGCGCTTCCCATCTTCGTGCGGTGTTGGATGCAAGCACAGACATGCAACCAGACATGCAACCAGACATGGGCAACGAGTGAACAACGTGCGGGACACGAACTGGAGCTGTCATTTCGGCACAGCTGATGACTCAATTGAATGGTGTTATTGCATGACCTAAGCACCGCATCAAGACCCAGCAGCAGTTGCGCTTCCCATCTTCGTGCGGTGTTGGATGCAAGCACAGACATGCAACCAGACATGGGCAACGAGTGAACAACGTGCGGGACACGAACTGGAGCTGTCATTTCGGCACAGCTGATGACTCAATTGAATGGTGTTATTGCATGACCTAAGCACCGCATCAAGACCCAGCAGCAGTTGCGCTTCCCATCTTCGTGCGGTGTTGGATGCAAGCACAGACATGCAACCAGACATGGACAACGAGTGAACAACGTGTAGTACACGAACCGGAGCTGTCATTTCGGCACAGCTGATGACTCAATTGAATGGTGTTATTGCATGACCTAAGCACCGCATCAAGAGCCAGCAGCAGTTGCGCTTCCCATCTTCGTGCGGTGTTGGATGCAAGCACAGACATGCAACCGGACATGCAACCAGACATGGGCAACGAGTGAACAACGTGCGGGACACGAACTGGAGCTGTCATTTCGGCACAGCTGATGACTCAATTGAATGGTGTTATTGCATGACCTCAGCACCGCATCAAGACCCAGCAGCAGTTGCGCTTCCCATCTTCGTGCGGTGTTGGATGCAAGCACAGACATGCAGCCAGACATGCAACCAGACATGGGCAACGAGTGAACAACGTGCGGGACACGAACTGGAGCTGTCATTTCGGCACAGCTGATGACTCAATTGAATCGTGTTATTGCATGACCTAAGCACCGCATCAAGACCCAGCAGCAGTTGCGCTTCCCATCTTCGTGCGGTGTTGGATGCAAGCACAGACATGCAACCAGACATGCAACCAGACATGGGCAACGAGTGAACAACGTGTAGTACACGAACTGGAGCTGTCATTTCGGCACAGCTGATGACTCAATTGAATGGTGTTATTGCATGACCTAAGCACCGCATTAAGACCCAGCAGCAGTTGCGCTTCCCATCTTCGTGCGGTGTTGGATGCAAGCACAGACATGCAACCAGACATGGGCAACGAGTGAACAACGTGCGGGACACGAACTGGAGCTGTCATTTCGGCACATCTGGTGACTCAGTTGAATGATGTTATTGCATGATCTAAGCGCCGCATCAAGACCCAGCAGCAGTTGCGCTTCCCATCTTCGTGCGGTGTTGGATGCAAGCACAGACATGCAACCAGACATGCAACCAGACATGGGCAACGAGTGAACAACGTGCGGGACACGAACTGGAGCTGTCATTTCGGCACAGCTGATGACTCAATTGAATGGTGTTATTGCATGACCTAAGCACCGCATTAAGACCCAGCAGCAGTTGCGCTTCCCATCTTCGTGCGGTGTTGGATGCAAGCACAGACATGCAACCAGACATGGGCAACGAGTGAACAACGTGCGGGACACGAACTGGAGCTGTCATTTCGGCACATCTGGTGACTCAGTTGAAGGATGTTATTGCATGACCTAAGCACCGCATCAAGACCTAGCAGCAGTTGCGCTTCCCATCTTCGTGCGGTGTTGGATGCAAGCACAGACATGCAACCAGACATGGGCAACGAGTGAACAACGTGCGGGACACGAACTGGAGCTGTCATTTCGGCACAGCTGATGACTCAATTGAATGGTGTTATTGCATGACCTAAGCACCGCATCAAGACCCAGCAGCAGTTGCGCTTCCCATATTCGTGCGGTGTTGGATGCAAGCACAGACATGCAAACAGACATGCAACCAGACATGGGCAACGAGTGAACAACGTGCGGGACACGAACTGGAGCTGTCATTTCGGCACAGCTGATGACTCAATTGAATGGTGTTATTGCATGACCTAAGCACCGCATCAAGAGCCAGCAGCAGTTGCGCTTCCCATCTTCGTGCGGTGTTGGATGCAAGCACAGACATGCAACCGGACATGCAACCAGACATGGGCAACGAGTGAACAACGTGCGGGACACGAACTGGAGCTGTCATTTCGGCACAGCTGATGACTCAATTGAATGGTGTTATTGCATGACCTCAGCACCGCATCAAGACCCAGCAGCAGTTGCGCTTCCCATCTTCGTGCGGTGTTGGATGCAAGCACAGACATGCAACCAGACATGCAACCAGACATGGGCAACGAGTGAACAACGTGCGGGACACGAACTGGAGCTGTCATTTCGGCACAGCTGATGACTCAATTAAATGGTGTTATTGCATGACCTAAGCACCGCATCAAGACCCAGCAGCAGTTGCGCTTCCCATCTTCGTGCGGTGTTGGATGCAACCAGACATGCAACCAGACATGGGCAACGAGTGAACAACGTGCGGGACACGAACTGGAGCTGTCATTTCGGCACAGCTGATGACTCAATTGAATGGTGTTATTGCATGACCTCAGCACCGCATCAAGACCCAGCAGCTGTTGCGCTTCCCATCTTCGTGCGGTGTTGGATGCAAGCACAGACATGCAACCAGACATGGGCAACGAGTGAACAACGTGCGGGACACGAACTGGAGCTGTCATTTCGGCACAGCTGATGACTCAATTGAATGGTGTTATTGCATGACCTCAGCACCGCATCAAGACCCAGCAGCAGTTGCGCTTCCCATCTTCGTGCGGTGTTGGATGCAAGCACAGACATGCAACCAGACATGGGCAACGAGTGAACAACGTGCGGGACACGAACTGGAGCTGTCATTTCGGCACAGCTGATGACTCAATTGAATGGTGTTATTGCATGACCTAAGCACCGCATCAAGACCCAGCAGCAGTTGCGCTTCCCATCTTCGTGCGGTGTTGGATGCAAGCACAGACAAACCAAATGCAACCAGACATGGGCAACGAGTGAACAACGTGCGGGACACGAACTGGAGCTGTCATTTCGGCACAGCTGATGACTCAATTGAATCGTGTTATTGCATGACCTAAGCACCGCATCAAGACCCAGCAGCAGTTGCGCTTCCCATCTTCGTGCGGTGTTGGATGCAAGCACAGACATGCAACCAGACATGGGCAACGAGTGAACAACGTGCGGGACACGAACTGGAGCTGTCATTTCGGCACAGCTGATGACTCAATTGAATGGTGTTATTGCATGACCTAAGCACCGCATCAAGACCCAGCAGCAGTTGCGCTTCCCATCTTCGTGCGGTGTTGGATGCAAGCACAGACATGCAACCAGACATGCAACCAGACATGGGCAACGAGTGAACAACGTGCGGGACACGAACTGGAGCTGTCATTTCGGCACAGCTGATGACTCAATTGAATGGTGTTATTGCATGACCTAAGCACCGCATCAAGACCCAGCAGCAGTTGCGCTTCCCATCTTCGTGCGGTGTTGGATGCAAGCACAGACATGCAACCAGACATGGGCAACGAGTGAACAACGTGCGGGACACGAACTGGAGCTGTCATTTCGGCACAGCTGATGACTCAATTGAATGGTGTTATTGCATGACCTAAGCACCGCATCAAGACCCAGCAGCAGTTGCGCTTCCCATCTTCGTGCGGTGTTGGATGCAAGCACAGACATGCAACCAGACATGGACAACGAGTGAACAACGTGTAGTACACGAACTGGAGCTGTCATTTCGGCACAGCTGATGACTCAATTGAATGGTGTTATTGCATGACCTAAGCACCGCATCAAGAGCCAGCAGCAGTTGCGCTTCCCATCTTCGTGCGGTGTTGGATGCAAGCACAGACATGCAACCGGACATGCAACCAGACATGGGCAACGAGTGAACAACGTGCGGTACACGAACTGGAGCTGTCATTTCGGCACAGCTGATGACTCAATTGAATGGTGTTATTGCATGACCTCAGCACCGCATCAAGACCCAGCAGCAGTTGCGCTTCCCATCTTCGTGCGGTGTTGGATGCAAGCACAGACATGCAGCCAGACATGCAACCAGACATGGGCAACGAGTGAACAACGTGCGGGACACGAACTGGAGCTGTCATTTCGGCACAGCTGGTGAATCAATTGAATGGTGTTATTGCATGACCTAAGCACCGCATCAAGACCCAGCAGCAGTTGCGCTTCCCATCTTCGTGCGGTGTTGGATGCAAGCACAGACATGCAACCAGACATGCAACCAGACATGGGCAACGAGTGAACAACGTGTAGTACACGAACTGGAGCTGTCATTTCGGCACAGCTGATGACTCAATTGAATGGTGTTATTGCATGACCTAAGCACCGCATTAAGACCCAGCAGCAGTTGCGCTTCCCATCTTCGTGCGGTGTTGGATGCAAGCACAGACATGCAACCAGACATGGGCAACGAGTGAACAACGTGCGGGACACGAACTGGAGCTGTCATTTCGGCACATCTGGTGACTCAGTTGAATGATGTTATTGCATGATCTAAGCGCCGCATCAAGACCCAGCAGCAGTTGCGCTTCCCATCTTCGTGCGGTGTTGGATGCAAGCACAGACATGCAACCAGACATGCAACCAGACATGGGCAACGAGTGAACAACGTGCGGGACACGAACTGGAGCTGTCATTTCGGCACAGCTGATGACTCAATTGAATGGTGTTATTGCATGACCTAAGCACCGCATTAAGACCCAGCAGCAGTTGCGCTTCCCATCTTCGTGCGGTGTTGGATGCAAGCACAGACATGCAACCAGACATGGGCAACGAGTGAACAACGTGCGGGACACGAACTGGAGCTGTCATTTCGGCACATCTGGTGACTCAATTGAATGGTGTTATTGCATGACCTAAGCACCGCATCAAGAGCCAGCAGCAGTTGCGCTTCCCATCTTCGTGCGGTGTTGAATGCAAGCACAGACATGCAACCAGACATGCAACCAGACATGGGCAACGAGTGAACAACGTGCGGGACACGAACTGGAGCTGTCATTTCGGCACAGCTGATGAATCAATTGAATGGTGTTATTGCATGATCTAAGCGCCGCATCAAGACCCAGCAGCAGTTGCGCTTCCCATCTTCGTGCGGTGTTGGATGCAAGCACAGACATGCAACCAGACATGCAACCAGACATGGGCAACGAGTGAACAACGTGCGGGACACGAACTGGAGCTGTCATTTCGGCACAGCCGATGGTTCCGACTCATCAAGAGGTGTTATTGCATGACCTAGGCACCGCATCAAGACCCAGCAGCAGTTGCGCTTCCCATCTTCGTGCGGTGTTGGATGCAAGCACAGACATGCAACCAGACATGCAACCAGACATGGGCAACGAGTGAACAACGTGCGGGACACGAACTGGAGCTGTCATTTCGGCACAGCTGATGAATCAATTGAATGGTGTTATTGCATGATCTAAGCACCGCATCAAGACCCAGCAGCAGTTGCGCTTCCCATCTTCGTGCGGTGTTGGATGCAAGCACAGACATGCAACCAGACATGCAACCAGACATGGGCAACGAGTGAACAACGTGCAGTACACGAACTGGAGCTGTCATTTCGGCACAGCTGATGACTCAATTGAATGGTGTTATTGCATGACCTAAGCACCGCATCAAGGCCCAGCAGCAGTTGCGCTTCCCATCTTCGTGCGGTGTTGGATGCAAGCACAGACATGCAACTAGATATGCAACCAGACATGGGCAACGAGTGAACAACGTGTAGTACACGAACTGGAGCTGTCATTTCGGCACAGCTGATGATTCCGACTCAATTGAATGGTGTTATTGCATGACCTAAGCACCGCATCAAGAGCCAGCAACAGTTGCGCTTCCCATCTTCGTGCGGTGTTGGATGCAAGCACAGACATGCAACCAGACATGCAACCAGACATGGGCAACGAGTGAACAACGTGCAGTACACGAACTGGAGCTGTCATTTCGGCACAGCTGATGACTCAATTGAATGGTGTTATTGCATGACCTAAGCACCGCATCAAGAGCCAGCAACAGTTGCGCTTCCCATCTTCGTGCGGTGTTGGATGCAAGCACAGACATGCAACCAGACATGAGTAATGAGTGAACAACGTGTAGTACACGAACAGGAGCTATCATTTCGGCACAGCTGATGACTCAATTGAACGGTGTTATTGCATGACCTAAGCACCGCATCAAGACCCAGCAGCAGTTGCGCTTCCCATCTTCGTGCGGTGTTGGATGCAAGCACTGACATGCAACCAGACATGCAACCAGACATGGGCAACGAGTGAACAACGTGCGGGACACGAATTGTAGCTGTCATTTCGGCACAGCTGATGACTCATCAAGCGGTGTTATTGCATGACCTAAGCACCGCATCAAGACCCAGCAGCAGTTGCGCTTCCCATCTTCGCGCGGTGTTGGATGCAAGCACAGACATGCAACCAGACATGCAACCAGACATGGGCAACGAGTGAACAACGTGCGGTACACAAACTGGAGCTGTCATTTCGGCACAGCTGATGATTCCGACTCAATTAAATGGTGTTATTGCATGACCTAAGCACCGCATCAAGACCCAGCAACAGTTGCGCTTCCCATCTTCGTGCGGTGTTGGATGCAAGCACATACATGCAACCAGACATGCAACCAGACATGGGCAACGAGTGAACAACGTGTAGTACACGAAACGAACTTGTGCTGTCATTTCGGCACAGCTGATGACTCAATTGAATGGTGTTATTGCATGACATAAGCACCGCATCAAGACCCAGCAGCAGTTGCGCTTCCCATCTTCGTGCGGTGTTGGATGCAAGCACATACATGCAACCAGACATGCAACCAGACATGGGCAACGAGTGAACAACGTGCGGGACACGAACTGGAGCTGTCATTTCGGTACAGCTGATGATTCCGACTCAATTGAATGGTGTTATTGCATGACCTAAGCACCGCATCAAGAGCCAGCAACAGTTGCGCTTCCCATCTTCATGCGGTGTTGGATGCAACCACTGACATGCAACCAGACATGCAACCAGACATGGGCAACGAGTGAACAACGTGCGGTACACGAACTGGAGCTGTCATTTCGGCACAGCTGATGACTCAATTGAATGGTGTTATTGCATGACCTAAGCACCGCATCAAGAGCCAGCAACAGTTGCGCTTCCCATCTTCGTGCGGTGTTGGATGCAAGCACAGACATGCAACCAGACATGCAACCAGACATGGGCAACGAGTGAACAACGTGTAGTAAACGAACTGAAGCTGTCATTTCGGCACGGCTGATGCTTCCGACTCAATTGAATGGTGTTATTGCATGACCTAAGCACCGCATCAAGACCCAGCAGCAGTTGCGCTTCCCATCTTCGTGCGGTGTTGGATGCAAGCACAGACATGCAACCAGACATGCAACCAGACATGGGCAACGAGTGAACAACGTGCGGTACACGAACTGGAGCTGTCATTTCGGCACAGCTGATGACTCAATTGAATGGTGTTATTGCATGACCTAAGTACCGCATCAAGACCCAGCAACAGTTGCGCTTCCCATCTTCGTTCGGTGTTGGATGCAAGCACAGACATGCAACCAGACATGCAACCAGACATGGGCAACGAGTGAACAACGTGCAATACACGAACTGGAGCTGTCACTTCGGCACAGCTGATGATTCCGACTCAATTGAATGGTGTTATCGAATGATCTAAGCACCGCATCAAGACCCAGCAGCAGTTGCGCTTCCCATCTTCGTGCGGTGTTGGATGCAAGCACAGACATGCAACCAGACATGGGCAACAAGTGAACAACGTGTAGGACACGAATTGGAGCTGTCATTACGGCGCAGCTGATGATTACGACTGATTAAGAGGTGTTATTGCATGACCTAAGCACCGCATCAAGAGCCAGCAGCAGTTGCGCTTCCCATCTTCGTGCGGTGTTGGATGCAACCACAGACATGCAACCAGACATGCAACCAGACATGGGTAACGAGTGAACAACGTGCGGTACACGAACTGGAGCTGTCATTTCGGCACAGCTGATGATTCCGACTCATCAAGAGGTATTATTGCGTGACCTAAGCACCGCATCAAGAGCCAGCAACAGTTGCGCTTCCCATCTTCGTGCGGTGTTGGATGCAAGCACAGACATGCAACCAGACATGCAACCAGACATGGGCAACGAGTGAACAACGTGCGGTACACGAACTGGAGCTGTCATTTCGGCACAGCTGATGATTCCGACTCAATTGAATGGCGTTATTGCATGAACTAAGCACCGCATCAAGACCCAGCAACAGTTGCGCTTCCCATCTTCGTGCGGTGTTGGATGCAAGCACAGACATGCAACCAGACATGGGCAAAGAGTGAACAACGTGCGGGACACGAACTGGAGCTGTCATTTCGGCACAGCTGATGACTCAATTGAATGGTGTTATTGCATGACCTAAGCACCGCATCAAGAGCCAGCAACAGTTGCGCTTCCCATCTTCGTGCGGTGTTGGATGCAAGCACAGACATGCAACCAGACATGGGCAACGAGTGAACAACGTGCGGGACACGAACTGGAGCTGTCATTTCGGCACAGCTGATGAATCAATTGAATGGTGTTATTGCATGACCTAAGCACCGCATCAAGAGCCAGCAGCAGTTGCGCTTCCCATCTTCGTGCGGTGTTGGATGCAAGCACAGACATGCAACCAGACATGCAACCAGACATGGGCAACAAGTGAACAACGTGTAGGACACGAATTGGAGCTGTCATTACGGCGCAGCTGATGAATCAATTGAATGGTGTTATTGCATGACCTAAGCACCGCATCAAGACCCAGCAGCAGTTGCGCTTCCCATCTTCGTGCGGTGTTGGATGCAAGCACAGACATGCAACCAGACATGCAACCAGACATGGGCAACGAGTGAACAACGTGCGGGACACGAACTGGAGCTGTCATTTCGGCACAGCTGATGACTCAATTGAATGGTGTTATTGCATGACCTAAGCACCGCATCAAGACCCAGCAGCAGTTGCGCTTCCCATCTTCGTGCGGTGTTGGATGCAAGCACAGACATGCAACCAGACATGCAACCAGACATGAACAACAAGTGAACAACGTGTAGGACACGAACTGGAGCTGTCATTACGGCGCAGCTGATGATTCCGACTCAATTGAATGGTGTTATTGCATGACCTAAGCACCGCATCAAGACCCAGCAGCAGTTGCGCTTCCCATCTTCGTGCGGTGTTGGATGCAAGCACAGACATGCAACCAGACATGCAACCAGACATGGGCAACGAGTGAACAACGTGCGGGACACGAACTGGAGCTGTCATTACGGCGCAGCTGATGATTCCGACTCAATTGAATGGTGTTATTGCATGACCTAAGCACCGCATCAAGACCCAGCAGCAGTTGCGCTTCCCATCTTCGTGCGGTGTTGGATGCAAGCACAGACATGCAACCAGACATGCAACCAGACATGGGCAAAGAGTGAACAACGTGCGGGACACGAACTGGAGCTGTCATTTCGGCACAGCTGATGACTCAATTGAATGGTGTTATTGCATGACCTAAGCACCGCATCAAGAGCCAGCAGCAGTTGCGCTTCCCATCTTCGTGCGGTGTTGGATGCAAGCACAGACATGCAACCAGACATGCAACTAGACATGGGCAACGAGTGAACAACGTGCGGGACACGAACTGGAGCTGTCATTTCGGCACAGCTGATGCACTCAATTGAATGGTGTTATTGCATGACCTAAGCACCGCATCAAGACCCAGCAGCAGTTGCGCTTCCCATCTTCGTGCGGTGTTGGATGCAAGCACAGACATGCAACCAGACATGCAACCAGACATGGGCAACGAGTGAACAACGTGCAGTACACGAACTGGAGCTGTCATTTCGGCACAGCTGATGACTCAATTGAATGGTGTTATTGCATGACCTAAGCACCGCATCAAGACCCAGCAGCAGTTGCGCTTCCCATCTTCGTGCGGTGTTGGATGCAAGCACAGACATGCAACCAGACATGCAACCAGACATGGGCAACGAGTGAACAACGTGCGGGACACGAACTGGAGCTGTTGTTTCGGCACAGCTGATGACTCAATTGAATGGTGTTATTGCATAACCTAAGCACCGCATCAAGACCCAGCAGCAGTTGCGCTTTCCATCTTCGTGCGGTTTGGATGCAAGCACAGACATGCAACCAGACATGCAACCAGACATGGGCAACGAGTGAACAACGTGCGGGACACGAACTGGAGCTGTCATTTCGGCACAGCTGATGAATCAATTGAATGGTGTTATTGCATGACCTAAGCACCGCATCAAGAGCCAGCAGCAGTTGCGCTTCCCATCTTCGTGCGGTGTTGGATGCAAGCACAGATATGCAACCAGACATGCAACCAGACATGAACAACAAGTGAACAACGTGCGGGACACGAACTGGAGCTGTCATTTCGGCACAGCTGATGACTCAATTGAATGGTGTTATTGCATGACCTAAGCACCGCATCAAGAGCCAGCAGCAGTTGCGCTTCCCATCTTCGTGCGGTGTTGGATGCAAGCACAGACATGCAACCAGACATGCAACCAGACATGGGCAACAAGTGAACAACGTGCGGGACACGAACTGGAGCTGTCATTTCGGCACAGCTGATGACTCAATTGAATCGTGTTATTGCATGACCTAAGCACCGCATCAAGAGCCAGCAACAGTTGCGCTTCCCATCTTCGTGCGGTGTTGGATGCAAGCACAGACATGCAACCGGACATGCAACCAGACATGTGCAACGAGTGAACAACGTGCGGGACACGAACTGGAGCTGTCATTTCGGCACAGCTGATGACTCATCAAGCGGTGTTATTGCATGACCTAAGCACCGCATCAAGACATAGCAGCAGTTGCGCTTCCCATCTTCGTGCGGTGTTGGATGCAAGCACAGACATGCAACCAGACATGGGCAAAGAGTGAACAACGTGCGGGACACGAACTGGAGCTGTCATTTCGGCACAGCTGATGACTCAATTGAATGGTGTTATTGCATGACCTAAGCACCGCATCAAGACCCAGCAGCAGTTGCGCTTCCCATCTTCGTGCGGTGTTGGATGCAAGCACAGACATGCAACCAGACATGCAACCAGACATGGGCAACAAGTGAACAACGTGTAGGACACGAATTGGAGCTGTCATTACGGCGCAGCTGATGATTACGACTGATTAAGAGGTGTTATTGCATGACCTAAGCACCGCATCAAGACCCAGCAGCAGTTGCGCTTCCCATCTTCGTGCGGTGTTGGATGCAAGCACAGACATGCAACCAGACATGCAACCAGACATGGGCAACGAGTGAACAACGTGCGGGACACGAACTGGAGCTGTCATTTCGGCACAGCTGATGACTCAATTGAATGGTGTTATTGCATGACCTAAGCACCGCATCAAGACCCAGCAGCAGTTGCGCTTCCCATCTTCGTGCGGTGTTGGATGCAAGCACAGACATGCAACCAGACATGCAACCAGACATGAACAACAAGTGAACAACGTGTAGGACACGAACTGGAGCTGTCATTACGGCGCAGCTGATGATTCCGACTCAATTGAATGGTGTTATTGCATGATCTAAGCGCCGAATCAAGATCCAGCAACAGTTGCGCTTCCCATCTTCGTGCGGTGTTGGATGCAAGCACAGACATGCAACCAGACATGCAACCAGACATGAACAACGAGTGAACAACGTGCGGGACACGAACTGGAGCTGTCATTACGGCGCAGCTGATGATTCCGACTCAATTGAATGGTGTTATTGCATGACCTAAGCACCGCATCAAGACCCAGCAGCAGTTGCGCTTCCCATCTTCGTGCGGTGTTGGATGCAAGCACAGACATGCAACCAGACATGCAACCAGACATGGGCAACGAGTGAACAACGTGTAGTAAACGAACTGAAGCTGTCATTTCGGCACGGCTGATGCTTCCGACTCAATTGAATGGTGTTATTGCATGACCTAAGCACCGCATCAAGACCCAGCAGCAGTTGCGCTTCCCATCTTCGTGCGGTGTTGGATGCAAGCACAGACATGCAACCAGACATGCAACCAGACATGGGCAACGAGTGAACAACGTGTAGTACACGAATTGGAGCTGTCATTTCGGCACAGCTGATGATTCCGACTCAATTGAATGGTGTTATTGCATGACCTAAGCACCGCATCAAGAGCCAGCAGCAGTTGCGCTTCCCATCTTCGTGCGGTGTTGGATGCAAGCACAGACATGCAACCAGACATGCAACCAGACATGGGCAACGAGTGAACAACGTGCGGGACACGAATTGGAGCTGTCATTTCGGCACAGCTGATGACTCAATTGAATGGTGTTATTGCATGACCTAAGCACCGCATCAAGACCCAGCAGCAGTTGCGCTTCCCATCTTCGTGCGGTGTTGGATGCAAGCACAGACATGCAACCAGACATGCAACCAGACATGGGCAACGAGTGAACAACGTGCGGGACACGAACTGGAGCTGTCATTTCGGCACAGCTGATGACTCAATTGAATGGTGTTATTGCATGACCTAAGCACCGCATCAAGAGCCAGCAACAGTTGCGCTTCCCATCTTCGTGCGGTGTTGGATGCAAGCACGGACATGCAACCAGACATGCAACCAGACATGAACAACAAGTGAACAACGTGCGGGACACGAACTGGAGCTGTCATTTCGGCACAGCTGATGACTCAATTGAATGGTGTTATTGCATGACCTAAGCACCGCATCAAGAGCCAGCAGCAGTTGCGCTTCCCATCTTCGTGCGGTGTTGGATGCAAGCACAGACATGCAACCAGACATGCAACCAGACATGGGCAACAAGTGAACAACGTGCGGGACACGAACTGGAGCTGTCATTTCGGCACAGCTGATGACTCAATTGAATGGTGTTATTGCATGACCTAAGCACCGCATCAAGACCCAGCAACAGTTGCGCTTCCCATCTTCGTGCGGTGTTGGATGCAAGCACAGACATGCAACCAGACATGCAACCAGACATGGGCAACAAGTGAACAACGTGCGGGACACGAACTGGAGCTGTCATTTCGGCACAGCTGATGACTCAATTGAATCGTGTTATTGCATGACCTAAGCACCGCATCAAGACCCAGCAGCAGTTGCGCTTCCCATCTTCGTGCGGTGTTGGATGCAAGCACAGACATGCAACCAGACATGGGCAACGAGTGAACAACGTGCGGGACACGAACTGGAGCTGTCATTTCGGCACAGCTGATGACTCAATTGAATGGTGTTATTGCATGACCTAAGCACCGCATCAAGACCCAGCAGCAGTTGCGCTTCCCATCTTCGTGCGGTGTTGGATGCAAGCACAGACATGCAACCAGACATGCAACCAGACATGGGCAACAAGTGAACAACGTGTAGGACACGAATTGGAGCTGTCATTACGGCGCAGCTGATGACTCAATTGAATGGTGTTATTGCATGACCTAAGCACCGCATCAAGACCCAGCAGCAGTTGCGCTTCCCATCTTCGTGCGGTGTTGGATGCAAGCACAGACATGCAACCAGACATGAAAATGGCAACGAGTGAACAACGTGCGGGACACGAACTGGAGCTGTCATTTCG